GCATGCATGCTACGTTTTGTGTGTTTTATTTATTTATTTATTTTTATTATTGTCACTTTCTTTTTGTCGAGCATGTTTTTCGATTTTAATTTTATTAAGGTTCTTGTCTGCACGTAAGATGTGAGGAAAGTGTGTGTACCCTGAAAGTGGCTCAGCTGTTGAAAGGGTAAGCTTTAAGAACTTTTGCCTTTTGTCCTTCCAGAATCAATTCATTTTTTTATTGAGTTGCACTATTATGGATCAACGGGACATTAGTCTAGATAGTATGATCTTTTCTCTCAAAGGAGATATTAGGGCAATATTGTGTTGGAGTTTGGAAAGCAAGAAAAAGTTGTGATGTTTCGAGTCCAATTCCCTAGAACCAAAACCCTAGAAAACCCTAACAACCAAAGAGAGAAATATATATATATATGGTTGAACCAAAACCCTAGAACAATTGATTGTAAACCTGAATAAAACTACAGAAGATAGTTTTCATATCTGTCAAAATTCTGATAGATATGATAGAATATAGAGATTAAATAACTTAAGGAAACTGTCTCCGTGTTTATATAACCTATGTTAGAAGATTGTTTCCATATCTGTCATGTAATATGAATCAAAACCATCCGGAGAATGAAAAATTACCATATATTAATAAGAGTGCTTTAAACAATCAGGTACTACTTACAGAAAATATAAAATAAGAACGAACTGATAAAAATACAAAGAATAATCAAATATCATAAACATTGAGCTTTTACATATATATGCTGAAAATTCAGATTGTAGTTAGATTCTATATCTGCAGAGTAGACAAGCTGGAGGAAAGGCCACGTCAAAAATAATGTGGGGAATCATATTTAGTTGCAATTAGGAAAAGAAAATCATATATAGTTGCCACACATGCCCTCTGATAAGGCATGGCCACATGAGAGATGGCAAACGTAAGGCATGGGTCGCAACGTTTATAATCATGTTAGTTAGGTGGATATTCAATGAGTTATTACACATCGTGGTAAGGTGATCGTCGACAAGGTAAGGTGGGTGATTTGGATGGTAACCATGTCAGCAAGCTAAGTGAGTATGTCTGTTGGCCCCAAGGTTTCAAGCTTAGTGAAACTTGTGATTTTGATGATAACAAACTATTAATGCTAGTATTTAACAGTCCACTTGAGTGAATTGAATTTCAGGATATTATTTAAACTCAAGTACCCAGCAGAACATAAAATGTTTCTACAAATTGGACATAAAATTTTTATACAAATTGGATCCAACACATGGCTGAGGAACTACACACTGAAGATCAAGTTCAAGACCATGGGGCTATGGGGTTGGTGGGTGTTAGAATCTGTTTAAGTATTGGCTCTGTTGCATGTTGATTCTAAGCTCAACCATAGGATATAAAAACTAGACTTGGATTAAAAGACAAATTGTTTTCTTAGTCCATAAGGAAAATGACAGACTTCAGCTCTTCAATGAAAATCAAAAGAAGTCTTTAGATATCATTCTCTAGCAGTTGACCTTAATCTCGTGCTTCATCCATTACTCTAGAGAATGAATGTGCAGTATACCAATCTTTTGAGAGAAAATCTGTATTGGGAATTTCATTGTATTGTTTGTCCAAGAAGGGACACCATTGTATGAGCTGATTGTATATCTTGAGAGAAGGATTGTATTGAAAGTCAGTTTAACTTTTTGAAAGTTTGATTGAGTGCTGCTCCTCAGCAAGTAAAGGTTATCTCTTAGCCTGGGAAAAGGACCAAGGTAAAGGTTTCTTCTCTACCTGGTAAACGGAAGTGAGATTTGGGAATCCTCAGGAGGCTCTCCTAGAGGCAAGGATGAAGTCAGGTGCCAAACCTTGTAAATCTTTGCGTCTTGTGTTTGCAATTCCTATATCCCTTGAACTCCTTATTTGTTGAGCTTGCGAACTCTGTTTCTATGCCTTCAAATCTGTTAGCATGGCATAGGCCAATCCGTTTCTCTTGTTTGCACACTTAGCCTTTCGTCTTCCCACTCTCTGTTTTGTGTTGCTAGTTGTTGCCCCAAGTCTGGAAAAGTTCTACCTAAAGACTCATTTCCACCCCCCCCCCCCCCCCCCCCCCCCCCCCCCCCACCCCCCCTCCCCTCTCTTCTTTCTCTTGAGTCATTGTCCGGGCTACAATATAATCATTTTCTACAAAGAAGCTAACAAGATTTATTGAGGAGAGAATTCCTTGTGGTAATGTTTATCTAAGGAGAAGAGGTATGTCGACGGCAAGACTTATCTGAAGAGTACTTGCAATACAAATGTTTATTCACAAGTGCTTTTAGGATGTGACTTTCAGATTTATGATCAAATAAAAAATAGAGAGAATGTAGAAGGGAGCTTCAGTTTCTACAACGGTGATTTGAGATAAGAATATTGTGGTGGTGGTAGCAGTTTGGCAGTGTAATAGGGGTGGCAAATTTAACCAGGTCCATCAACCCGTCCAGTGTTAAGTGGATTTGCACTTATTTTTCAGTGCGGGTCAAAATTGGCCTGGACAAAAATGAACCCGTTAAATCGCGCAGGTCAAAACGGGTTGAATATGGGTATCCATATTTCACCCACTAGATTAAAAAAGCAAAAGACACGATTGATTAATGTCCACCCATGCGATCTCCCTTTGCGCCTCTCTCTGCTTGTGCAATCTCCCTCTCTCTCTTCGATTTAGGGTGCAATCTCCCTCTCTGTCTCTCTTGCCTCTCTCTCTTCGATTTAGGGTTTCTTAGTGGCCTATGAGGAGGGTCTCGCTTCTTCTCCAGATTTCATGGAAATAGTATGTGTAATCACAATCCCCTAATCTAGATGTATATGTGTGTATATATGCTATATTGATAAAAAGCATGTTGACCAGTGTATATCACCAATTTTTTTCCCTAGTTTGTTTTCAAATTTAGGTTTGTGGTGACATTTATGTTTTGTGATTGTGTAGGTAGAAATGAAGAGTTTATAAAGTTGAAGACACTAAAAATGACCCGGGCTTGGTATGATCCGTATTGTTAAGAACGGGTCGGGTATGGATGGCCAGGATGGAGCAAATCCATGCTGAATGGGCCCAGATCCAAGAAGTCATTACAGAAGCCCATGTTAAGAGGAAAAAAGTTAAGTCCAGACAAAAGAGAACAAGGCCCAGCTCAGAGGTGGCTATAACCGTCTATAAATAAGGGGGATTGAGAGGGAAAAGTGGTTAAAGATTATTGGGACAGTAAAATTTCTCTCTCTAGAATTGGGGGAAAATTCTTTGTACTTTCAATTGGCGCCGTCTGTGGGAAGAACAGGAAGGATTGATTGATGTTGATCCAGACCGATTCGATTCAAAGCACTCTGAGAGGCAGACGATTAATCTTTGAAAGCTGAATCAACATTGATGACAATGCGATCTGTCTTGGTGAGTCTTGGCTCCGGTTGATTTCGAGAGGTTGGCATCCGATCCACGCATATCTGATCTGTGCTTGATCTGGTGAGCTGCACAGTTGTGATTTGTTGAGATTACTGAATCCGGCCAGTAGCGAACAGAATTCAGCAAGTGTGAGTCCAGATCTGTTGCGTATGCATTAGCGAAGCACCGATCTGATTAAGAAATCTGCGGTTGATGACTTTGCTCCGATCTGGAATGACGATCGGAGAGGAGAGCTCAAATCTTTTGGAGAATGGCCAGCAGACGAAGCTTGATGAGCTGATGAACATGATCGACGCCTTGAGGAAAGAAAATGCAGAGTTACATGCTGGAATAGAGCGTCGTGAGGCTCCTACAATTCCGAGGCCACCTCCCGAAGGAGAGGGAGTCTTGCCGTCCCATGCTGATCGTCAAGGTGATCCAGAAGGTGTTAATCGTGTTGATCCACGTTGTGATGAAGTTATAATAGGCGATCTGCCTCCGAATGTCCGTCAAGTAGAAGATCGAGAAGGATCTATTCATTTGGAGCCACATCGCAAACGGATCATGAGAGAGGAAGTGCCGGCGTGTGATAATAGGGTTACATCACCATGGCGAAATAAGTTTGCAGAGGACAGATCGTTTGATCCACCTTATTGACCTTCAATGGCAACATTTGATTACCACAGTTCAAAAAGGAGATCTACCGATTGGGGAGTTCCATCACGGTTTTCAAGGGAGAACGAAGCATTGTGCTCATCAGCAAGGACGGTTGCATCTCCGTTCACTGATGAAATTCTGAATACGCCGAATCCGAAGAAGTTCTCCATGCCGATTTCCATTCTGTTTGATGGAACAACCGACCCGGTCGACCACATCTACCACATTCAGTTAAAAATGGCTTTGAATACTAACAATAATCCTTTGATGTGCAAATGCTTCCCTACGAGCTTGGTAGGACCAGCCCTCAATTGGTTCAAGAATCTGGCTCAGGGCTCAATCGCTAGTTTCCAGGACTTGAGTGATAAGTTCATAAGCCAGTATTGCAGGAATAAACATCCGGCTAAGGATGTATCAAGCCTTTTCACAATGAGGCAACACGAAGATGAACGACTCCAAGCTTTCCTCACCCGGTTCAACCTGGTTAAAAGCATGGTAATGGAATGTCATCCATCCACAGCGGTCCAAGCATTTAAACTCGCAACGAACCGGGGGATACCGTTCCACACAAGCTTGGTGGTCAGTACGTCGAAGACTATGGACGAGCTGAACGAGAAAGCTGATGGTTTTGTTCGTCTTGAGGAAGAAGAGGCAGCCAATTCAAGGAAGATGTCAATTATTTAGACAGAAGAGAAGTCCAAAGCCAAGATCCGGCAAAAACAAGCTCAGCCGCAACGTCATACCTCATGGAAGGCAGAGAAAATGACTAAGGAAGAGGAATCGGTTACTCCACTCAGAGTCACCTTGGCAAGGCTATACCAAGAAAACAAAAATAAGTTTCGCCCTCCTTTACCAATCAGACAACCTCTTGAACAGACTGATCAAATTAAACATTGTGCTTTCCATAGTGATTTTGGACATCAAACTAATGAATGTAAGAACCTAAGGAGGCAAGTGGAGATGCTAATCGCAAAGGGGGAATTTGCAGGCTATATTCAAGGTCCGGCGCAAAAGCAGAACCGACCGGCTGAACAGATCAAGCGAAACCAGAGGCCGAACCACCACAACACTCAGCCTGTTCGGATTATAAATGCAATTCATGGCCGACCTGAACAAACGACGGAGTCGGAGGAGTTGCTCAGAACGCAGTTACGCCAGGCCCAGTTGAAAAGAAGGATTTGCAGTATACATACTTTGCACCAGCAGAACGCACACGCGCCGATAAAGTTTGATAGAACAGACTTGCTACAGGTTCAGGTTCCTCATGAAGATCCACTAGTCGTCAGTCTAACAGTTGCAGAATACCTAGTTCGAAGAGTTCTGATTGATCCAGGAAGTAGTGCGAGTGTCATGCCCAGAGTGACATTCGACCGACTTGAGATCGAACCCGAGAACCTTAAACCCACAGGAAATCCATTGCTAGGATTTGATGGGAAGCAGGTGGAGCCCATTGGCATGGTGGAATTAACAGTACAAGTTGCTGAGCGAGTTTTGACTGAAAGTTTTGTGGTCGTGGAAATTCATCCATCCTACAACCTCCTGATGGGAAGAGGGTGGATTCACAGAGTTCAGGGTGTCCCATCCACCCTACATCAAGTGATGCGATGCTTGGGTCCCGATGGGACCAAGGTGATTGACATTCATGGGGACCAAGTTGCAGTTAAAGAGTGTTATTCAGAGACTTTGAAATCTGCTAGAAAAGGGAAAAATCCCATCCATTTTGCCAGTCCAAGATAGTAATTACAGGAGCCTCCACCCAGCAAAGGTAGGGAGGAGGAACCGCTAGTTCTGACTATGAAACCTCTTCTTGATGTACTGATCGACTATAAGAAATCGGATCGAACAACGAGGGTGGGATCCAGACTTACTAAAGAGGAAAAACTAGGGTTGATTGACTTTTTGACTCGAAATGTAGATGTATTCGCATAGAGCCATTCAGATATGCCAGGGATTAGTCCTTCTGTGTCTTATCATTCCCTCCATGTTGATTCGAACGCAAAACCTGTGAAGCAGAAGCAGAGAAGATTTGCTCCAGAACGAAATCAGATCATAGCTGAGGAGATTGATTGGTTGCTCGAGGCAGGATTTATTAGAGAAGTTCAGTACCCGGCCTGGCTCTCCAATGTCACTGTTGTGCAGAAGAAGAATAAGAAATGGAGAGTATGTATCGACTTCACTAATCTGAACAAAGCTTGCCCAAAGGATAGCTTCCCATTGCCAAGGATTGACCAAATGGTGGATGGCACCACAGGATACAAGTGGTTAACCTTCCTAGATGCTTATTCCGGTTATAATGAAATCCCCATGGACCCGATTGATGAAGAGAAAACTTCTTTTGTTACTGAACGAGGGACCTATTGCTACAAGGTCATGCCGTTCGGCTTAAAAAATGCTGAAGTTACTTATCAGAGGTTGATCAGCAAGATTTTCAAAAGCCAAATGGGGAGAACTGTAGAGGCTTATATTGATGATATGGTGGTCAAGAGTAAGAAGAAGGATGATCACCTAACGCACCTACAGGATGTATTCGATGTGCTAAGGCATTATGGGATGAAACTTAATCCAGCCAAATGTTCATTCGGCGTGAGCTCTGGTCAATTCTTGGGACATGTGGTCAATCATAGAGGAATTGAGGCTAGCCCAGCGCAGGCAAAAGCTCTGATCAGAAATGTAGAAACAAAGACAATTAAGGAGGTGCAGGCACTCACAGGTTGAATAACTGCGCTGAGCCGGTTCATTTCTAAGCTCTCAGACCGTTGTAAACCATTCTTTGATACAATTCGAGACCATGGAAGATAAGCCTGGGGGGATGAGCAACGACAGGCACTAACCAGTCTGAAAGATTACATACGCAACCCTCCGGTTCTATCTGCTCCCGAGCCAATGAGAAACTCTTTCTATATCTTGGGGTATCCAGCATCGCGACTAGTGCCGTTCTGATCCGTTGCAAAAATGGAAAGCAATTCCCAATGTTTTATGTCAGCAAAACAATGGCTAAGCCGGTAAGAAGGTACTCAAAGGCCGAACGGATGATCTTGTCATTGGTCAACGCAAAAAGGAAGCTCAGACATTATTTTGAATCCCATCCGATTGTTGTCTTATCAACCTTTCCTCTAAGGATGATCTTGCACAAGCCGGACCTATCAGGAAGAATGACATAGTGGGCCATTGAGTTGAGTTCATTTGATATTATATATGAACCCAGAACGGCAATCAAAGGTCAAGCAGTGGCTGATTTCCTACTTGAATGTGATGTTGACGACTTGGTGGAAGATTATGATTGTTCCTTATGGAAGCTCTTCGTGGATGGCTCTTCAAATCAAATTAGGGCAAGGATTGGAATCTAATTGCAAACACCAGAACGCACCACGCTAAGCCAAGCGATAAGACTTGAGTTCAGTGCAACCAACAACGAGGCAGAATACGAGGCATTATTAGCTGAGTTGAGGTTGGCTAAAGAGCTGAAGATCAAGAATCTAATTGCTTATAGTGATTCATAACTAATCATTCGGCAAGTCACTGGGGAATATGGAACCAAGGATAAGACCATGGAAGCAAACCGAACTGCGATTCTGCATGAGGCGAAAGGCTTTGATCAGATCAGGTTCATCCAATTGCCGAGGGAATATAATGAATATGCCGATCAGTTGGCCTGTAGTGCATCCAATTCTGGAGAAACTTTGGCTAGGGTCATCTCGGTTGATGTGTTGGTTCAGCCATCCACTTTTGACGAACTGCCCGATCCGAATGCTCAACACATTAATGTTATACCATATGAGCCGAGCTGGATTGATCCGATCATGGCTTTCATACGTAATGGTGTACTACCCGAACAGAAAAATGAGGCAAGAAAAATCAAGTCCAACATCGCGAAGTATGCCATTGTGCGTGATCTGTTGTATAGACGGTCCTTCTCGGGTCCATACTTGAAGTGTGTTACCCCAACAGAGGCTAGACAGATTATACGAACCATTCATGAAAGTGTATGAGGAAATCATTCAAGAGGAAGATCTTTGGCACACAAAGCAATGACACAAGGGTACTTTTGGCCAAACATGGCACGAGATGCAGAAGAATTCTCTAGAAGATGCGATAAATGCCAGAGGTTTGGGCCATTGATACACCAACCACCTGAAGACTTGCACGTAATGGCCACGCCATGGCCTTTCGCGCAATGGGGGATGGATATGGTTGGCCCTCTGCCGACCGCAAGATCACAGAACAAGTACTTTCTGCTAGCAACTGATTACTTCACCAAATGGGTGGAAGCAGAGCCATACCCTAGTGTCACCCAAACTCAAGTAAGACGCTTCATTTGGAATAATATTATCTGTTGTTTTGGTGTACCAATGTCAATCGTTATGGACAATGGAACCAATCTCGATAGCAAGCAAGTGAAAGAGTTGATGGAAGAATATGGAATCAATCAGAAGTTAGCAGCAGTCAGTCATCCCCAGGCTAATGGTCAAGCTGAAATCACGAACAGGACAATATTTGTCTGCATCAAGAAGAAGCTGGAAAATGAAAAAGGAAAATGGTTAGATGAGCTTCCGAACGTCTTGTGGGCCTACAGAACAACCCCAAGACGGCCAACCGGGGAGAGCCCATTCACTCTGGCGTACGGCACCGAGGCAGTGATACCAGTCGAGCACTTGGTTCCAACCGTTAGAAGCTTGGCGTGGAATCAAGAGCAGAATGATAGAATGCTAAGGTTTAATCTTGCTTTGCTAGAGGAGAAAAGGGATGCAGCTGCCATAAGGCTTGCTTCTTATCAACAGACGCTCGTAAATAGCCATAACTAGAAGGTAAAGCATAGAGACTTCGCCCTTGGCGATCTAGTTCTGAAAAGGAAGGTGGGGATAGTCAAAAAGATGTTTTCCCTATGGGAAGGTCCATACAGAATCGCAGAGGTCATAGGAAAGGAGACATACGTCCTGGAAACCATAGCAGGAAGGGTGGTCAGTAAGCCATGGAATGCTACGTCTCTGAAAAGGTACTACCAGTAGAAGTAGAGTTTAATTTCAAACAATATGCACGTTTTAAATTGCATACTTGCAAGTGTATGAAATTTTCAAGTTTCATGAAAGTTGTTTACTTTGTTCAAATATTAATTGACATCCTTCCCATTGAGCAAAGTCAGTGACACCTGACACTATGAGCCGAATGTGATACCCCTCGAATTCGAGACACGGGTTGATCAGGCCCAGGCCCAAACCCGAGGGAATATCAAACAATTAAAGTATTTTAAAACGAACACAGATGACAAAAAGAACAATAAAGATAGAATAAAACTGAAAGAAACATTAATTATAAAATCCTCCATGTACAACTGAAAATTGATACTCCAATCCTCCAAAACTTCAAGGTTACAACTTGGGAATCCACTGATAGACCCCTAACCAAAAGTTCAACTGAAACTGAAAACTGAAAATAGATAATGCTAGAAATATCGAGAGAAGTCCTACGTAATCAGATGAAAGTGAGACTGTCCTCGACAAGCACGATCAAGCTCTAAGGCTGGAACCGTCCTGTACCTGAAAAGAATAATAAAGGAGTGGGTCAGACCCACGAGCAAGTTCTAATCTAACTGCAATCCATACAGTGACCCGATACGCAGATACACCGTAGACACCTCACCATATCTATCTAGTCCATACGTATAAATATATCCACACTAAGGGACATTCACTAGTCTATAATAGGGGTCTCAACCTAAATAGAAGGCAACATGCGAATACGCACCCAAAGGTGGGCATGAGTACCTAGACCTAACAGGGTACACCTCAACCTATTATAACCAGCTACGCATCCACTGCATATACGCACCCTAACCAACGAGTCTGAGACTCAAGCTCAACTCGTGGTACCATAAACATATACATAAAGTCCGTCTAAATCCAGGGTATGCAGTTCAACTATTTATTAAACTGACATACAATAAACCAACTAGTTAGTCACTCAACTTATTCAGTTGATATGACTTAACTACCATCCGTTAATCCAGGAAGTCATCCAACTTGGTTACAGCTGATCTGACTTAGCCACAATTAGGATTCGATATCTTTCAATCCATTCCATTAATCCATTAGGTTAGGTTTATGCGTTTTGAGCTAAACCGTCCCTAGTATGTCACCGTCCCATACCGGTACATACAATCCTCCATATCCATGTAAATTACAACATATATAACAGTTCAATAATTTACAGACCAAAAACCACCATCCAATACTTGCAGAAGGAATCTTAACAATCTAGCAAATAAAATTCAATAATAATCCATGTAATTGCATCGGAGAAAAAACTATTCTAACAATTAACATCCAACACATGCATAGTTCAAATTTAATAAAACAATGACCCTATCATGTATTTAAAATTAGTTCTATAATAATATTATAGTCCAATAAATCGCTACATTAAACTAAGCGATCTAGTTCCCTCCATCCGGTAACAAAATACTAAGTCATATACTTATATTGTGTTGTAACCTTTAGCACAGAGCCCCCACTATGCCACAAGTCCAATATATTACTTTAAAAGACTTCATCGTGCATCAAAAATAAATTTAAAATCATTTTATAGCACCCTAAACCATCAGATTAAAATTAATCAACAAATCTCCTTCCAACCGTTAACTGTACGCAAAGTTGTCAAATAGCATACTGTTAATTCCATTTAAACTAAGGGGTAAATTTATGCAATTCAAGACCTTAGTTACAAGTTAAAATTATTATTTA